AATATGTATTTGGACATTATATTGAAAGTCGTTCTAGAATATGGAGGAGATAGGAAAATTGTTTTTTCATCATTCAATCCAGATATTTGTGCCATGATTCGTCTTAAGCAAAATAAGTACCCAGTAGTATTTTTAACACAAGGTGTAACTTCAAAATATCCTACTTATCATGATCCGAGATGTCAAACGATACCAATGGCTGTTAGACATGCATTAGCAGCTGATATTTTAGGAATTAATGTTCATACTGAAGATATTCTTAGAGATCCCTCACAAGTCAAATTTGTAAAAGATGCTGGATTAATTATTTTTTGTTGGGGAGATGATAATAATGATAAAGATACAATTCAACATTTAAAGAAACTTGGCTTGCATGCAGTTATTTATGACAAGTAAGCAATGTTTAAAATTTTATTTTTATATAAATAAATAAAAATATATATATAATAATTATTTAATATTTTGTATAGAATTGATGAATATAATGCAAAAGAAGTCAAGGAAAGTATATTTCTAGTTGATGCAAGAGAAAATCAAAAGGCACTAATTGCTTTAGCACAATGTAATCAGAGTTGTGCACCTCAACCTCAAATTACTAATTCTCTAAATTCAGAAAAGGTTAGTAATAATTTTTATGAATATCAATATTATATTTGGGAAAGAAGTTAATCCTCAATATTAAAAAAAACAATATAATTCAATTCATTTTAGGATTATTATATGGACATTGATAAATCACGAAATATGATCACAACTACATCAACTACAACTTCATTTGCATCTTTTGGTAAGAATAGTATTGGTGATGATAATAATATATATCCAATGTCAACCGTTAAATTACCAAGTACATGTGATCATCAGGAGAGCAAAGAGATCAGTGAAATGACGAAAGATTTTAGCGTTTGTGCAAAGTCTTTCGGCCACTCAGTAAAAGCAAAAAGTATCTCAGACTTAGTTTGCGGTCAAACAACAACATTATCAGAGATCTATGGAGAGGATGATACTGCGAAAGACTGTCTTTGATGTTTCTCTTTTAAGAAGCCGTTTATGTCATGGTTCTGATTTAGAAAACACTGCTTAGAAAAGACCACAAGAGGAAAAAAAAAGCCGAAGAAAATGTTTTGTAACTTGTAATTTACTATAATATTTAGACCAAAGGGGTTAAACAATTTTAGTTTCCCTAACAGTCCTAGGATCCATAACATTGGATCATCTTAACGGCCATTATGGAATATATTTATATATTAATGCACAAGAAAGATGATTGATTGTATTTTTCACATCGTTTTATCATTCCTACAATCAGTCAATTTCATATTTTATGTCTTACTTAAAATTTTATATAATGGCCTTTTTTTTAATACTGATAAAGTCCAATGGCTGTAGAAAAAGATGTTTATTTCTGTTACTCTGCCTGTGGCAGATGAATACAGAAATTGCAAGTTTTTAGTACAAATATTCTCAATATTTTCATTTAGTTCATAAAAAGAAGTCACCCCTCTCATTTTTTCTTTTAATTATATACTAATTTCAAAAAATGAAAATTGACACAAATATCTATATAATATAACAAATATATAACATCATAAATATATATATTTTCTCTTTTTTAGTAAATTATCAAAAAAAAATTAAAAAAAAATGCGATTTGTTTTTCGACAGTTTGAAATATTGATAAAAGCTGTGAAGTAATTATTATGTCATATTCACTTATTTATATTTCAAATTATTTTTAATGCAGCATTAGAAATTGAATGAATCATGAAAAAAGAATTGTGTGTAAAATTAATATAATTATAAAAAAAGTCGTTTTTTTCCATATTTATAATAATATGGTGATTGTTATAATTTATTCATCTATGTATGATAGTTACCTTAAAAAATTAAAAATCGATTTTCTTTGATATAAATAAGTACACAATTGTGAAATTAACAAATTTTTAAAATCATTTATTTGCTTTATAGATTTTTTCTGTTCAAATTCTAATACCTGATTAACTTTTTAATAAACTGCATCAGTGACAAAATAAATATGTAGTACGCGAATATCTTTTCAAAGTTATTGAACAGAGAAGATAATTTATACCGTTATACCGCATTGGTAGTATGCTATACAACTAAAGAGAGCGATTGTATCAATCGTTATGATTCTGGCAATATACAGAATATCTGTTGATGGTTTAGAGAAGTATACCACAGATATGTTATGGGATCATATATGTAAATGCACACATATAGTGCATTAAGGGGGGTGGTTACTGATCTTTTCTATTGTCATAGAGGCTATGCATTATAATAAACCAGTTGATAGATATAAATCGGTTCGATAAGTTTATAATTAAAATATATTGATAGAACTTTGCAAATTCTGACACCCATAAGTTAATACATTATAGTCTTCAAGTGTATAATATGATAACATCATATATATTTCAGATTTCTAATTATGTGTCTGTTTTTATCTCTCCCTATTAAACAATAATTTGAATATACAACGACTAATTATAAATATAATAATTAATTGGTTATATAATTATTATATAAAAATTTTCATACATATATAAACATTAAAAAAACTAATAAGATATAATATTTTTGCATTTACATTTGAAGTTTTAATTTCATTATTGAAAGTACCCGATTTGAAAATAAATATTAAATGTAATATATAGTTAACACATTATGGATTATTTTTTATTATATTTGAGATTTAGCAAGTGAACTTTAAATACATTCTAATATATCTATAATATAAAATCTATAATAGATAAAAGTAAAAACAAGTTTATTTTTTTTATTCAAAACATTATATTAACATAAGTTAACAAAAAATATTTTAATTTTAATTTTATTAAATTTATTAAATATTTTAATTTTATTTGAATTATTTATTAATATTATTTTGAAAGATTAGCTATCATATATTATTTATTATTTTAAATAATATTTTAAGTTTTTAAGTAATTTATTCTATTTGTAAAAAATATAAAGTAATAGTATCTCACATTCGTAAATAGTATATCTTAATTAAATGCAAAAAAATACAATGTCAAAAATATGACCATAATGTGATAATATTAATATTAACTTTTAAATTAAAAAATATTTTACAATATAAATTATTTAAATGTAAATGCAATTGCTGTAATAATATTTATTTTCAGAATAAATTTAAAAAAAACAAATTGAATATTTATAATAAATATTCATAAAGAATATATTGATTTTCAAGTATAGAAGTTTATGACTAAATTTTTCAATTTATTATTTAATAAATCTTATTAAAAAGATTATCCTCATTCCTATAAATCACTCCTTAAAGTATTTATTAAATTTAGTAGTAAAAATTATATATAAAAAATATAAAAAATCAATAACTTTTGGCTTTTTAATATTCGCATTTATATGTGTGTGTATATATATATTTTAATTTAATTTTTTTTTTATAATTTTTGAATGAAATTCTAACTATATTCTTTATAAAATTACGAAATACAATAATTTTAGTTTAAAAATTAAATAATTAAAAATTTTTTTTAAAATTAATGAAAATAAATTAATTTATATGTTTATAGTATAGTTTAAAGTTTTATTATTTTTTTTAATGTTTTATTATAGTCCTTTTAATTCAATGATTTATTAAACAAAAAAAATTTTTGTAATATCTCAAAATTGTAAAAAATACACGTGTAAAAATTGTAAAAAAAAATTTTGTTTTTATAGAAATTATAAATTACTTGATTAACATCATAAGTTAAATATTAAGCCTATAATGGAAAGTGATTTTATATAGCGTTTTTTTTCAATCAAAGTGTCCCTGGAAACTTTCGAATATTGAGACCGCGTTCGAAATGAAGGGAATTTAATGGCGGTTGAAGAGCCCCCACCCTGACCTCATATGCAGAGACAGTCAAGGTGTCAACAGGCGAGGCCGAACAGAGTTTACGTGATAATTCTTGTCTGTTCATATTTGCAGATTTATTTTATCACTTATCGTTTTGTATTAGCAATATTTAAGTCGTGATAATCAAGATATATATTTTCATAATAACTGATGTTCAGAGAATGCAACTGTTCAAAGTATAGCATGGTACAAATTTTTCTGACGTGTATATGTGTATACGTACATAATGTTTTGATTCAATCGCAGCTGAAGTTTTATCGTATCTATTTAGTTAAAGAATGTTTCTTGATTTTGTTTCATTGATAAAAATTATAGTGTTTTGTCGTCTCATTACTTATTGTTGCAAGTTTTATAGTAGTGTACTTATAAATTAATTTGTTATAAATTTTTTTTATAACTGATTAATGTTCTAGTCAGGAACGATATGTTTGACGCTTGAATGATTATTGTACAACGTGATTGTGACAAGGCATACTTGAATACTATTGCTGTGATTTAAAATTATTTGTAATGCAGAACTAATAATACTGGTTGATACATGTTTTTATAAACTGCTATGGATAAAAAGATTTTATTGCATACTAATAAGATGATTTTATTTATTTTCATTTTTTATTATTATTTTTATATATAAATAAATAAAAATATATTATGATTTTTCTATATTTATTACATAAAATATAATATAATTGAAAATTTTAATCCATATTTAATCCAAAAAATCCATATTTATTTGTTTTTGTTTTAAAAATTAATTATGTTATTATCATTATGTAATAATAATAAATTGTTTTTATAAAATATTATTATAACTATTTCATAAAATATTAAAATTTAATAAATAATATTAAATAATTAATAATAGTTTCTTATGATAATTATTGAAATAACAAAAAAATTTGCTTTTTCAGATATGACTCTTTGTGCTTATAATATAATTGCTCACAAAACAATCCAATAAACATGGATGATGAGTTTTATTTTATCAAACAGCAGTGAGGCGAATATACTGTAATGGGGTGGGTTTTGTCCACCATAATATGGATTACTATATGGAGTTGCCTCTTGCGGGGCTTAGAATTAGCTCCACAGACATCTCCAAAACAAATTCCATGTGATAAAACAAGAAAAGTTTTTACTGATTCTTGGGGAATTATTAGTGATGGACCATTGGGCTCAAATTATACTCAAGATTCTCATTGTGAATGGCTTATAAAAGGTAAAAAATCTTATATATTACAATATATTTTATAAATAAATCTTACAATAATTTTTTATTCTTTGTTTATAATTGTTTATTATATTATTTATATATAATTGTATTATATAATTATATTTATATATAATTATAATTGTTTATAATATTATAATATTAATTAATTAATTTATATATTTTACAGCAAATAATAGTCGACAATTTATTACTTTAAGTTTTCGTACAATGGGAACAGAATGTAGCTATGATTATGTTTTTGTTTATGATGGAGATTCTTTCCGATCTCCTCTTTTAGGCAGTTTCAGTGGTAAAACTGAACCACAACAAGTAACATCATCATCTGGCTATGTATGTGAATATGAAATTCTAATAAACTTATCTAATATATATAATATATATAAATTATTAAAAAATTGTGATAACTATATTTTTTAAATATTTTTTTTATAGATGTTAATACTATTGTACAGTGATACAAACTATGTTTTGGATGGTTTCCATGCAGAATTTTCAGTTACAAATTGTTCAAATAATTGTACAAATCATGGCAAATGTATTGATAATACATGCTTTTGTGAGGATGATTGGGGTGGACGAGATTGTTCTAGAGCTCTTTGTCCAAATAATTGCAGTTATAGTGGAAAATGTGATTTAAAACGATGTCACTGTCAAAATGGATATTCAGGACAATCTTGTTCATTACATAAAATGCATCCTGAAGGCAACAAGTATGTTATGGAATATATTATTATTATAAATATTATTATTATATTATTAAATATAATTATTATTTATTAATTATTAAATATGATAAATAGATGGCACTGGCTTTCTCATTCAGAAGGTGGATTAAGGCCACGGGCAGCACATACTGCAGTTTATATAAAAGAAACTGATTCTCTTTATGTTTTTGGTGGCTATGATCTTAATTATATACTTGATAATTTGGAAGTGTATCGATTTAATATAAGTCAATGGGAAGACGAATATGGTAATGAATTAGGTAAGAAGAAAACACAAAGTAATTCTTTATAAGATATATATATAAAAAGAGAGAATGTATATATATATATGTATGTATATATATTTTAATATATATTATATTATAAAATTATTATGTATATTTCTTTAAAACAGAAGGCATCTCATCTGCAGAACATTTAGATCCTATACTTCTTGCTCTTGAATTAAAAGGAACAAATGCAGATGAAAAAGAATTATATGGTCTTCGTACTTCATCTTTTATATGGAAATTGCTTTCTGGTATTAAAGATAATAATAATACCTTTAATTCACGTAATCTTGCAAATGTAGAAAAAAGATATGGTTGGTCAGAATTTAGGATTGGAGATCATAATGATCGTGAAAAAAAAATTCATGAAACTAAAGATAATGAAACTAGTAGAAGTACAGTTAGAATAGAAAGAAATGATGATTTTAGAAAAAAACATTCTAGACATACTAGACCTCGATATGCACAAACTGCAAGGTAAAAATAAAATATATGATATAATTACTTAATGATGATTAATTTAATGTTAATATTTTTTTTTTATTAATTTAATATTATAGACATCGTAGAAATCTTGAAAATCTAAATTTCTATAAAAAATTTCATACTTCAAATATAAAAAGTGATATATTAAATTGGGAAGAGGAAATTGCAGAAGATTCTATTGGAGATAATATTTATGTTCAAGAACCTAAAATAAGAGACGAATTATTTAAAGATGAATCTACTAAATCATCAATTGACAAATTACCTAAACCAAGTCCGCGATATGGCCATGCTGCTTGTAGATATGATGGTCAGTTTGCATCCATTTGAAATATTTAAAATAATAATAATAATATTATTATTATTATAATTTATAACTTAATAATTTATACATTAATAGGTGGTTTTGTTATATATGGTGGAAAAGTACAAGATGGTTCTTTATCTAATGAATTATGGTATTACAATGTTAATACACGTTCCTGGACATTAAGAGCAAAAAATTCTCCATTTTATCCTCCACAATTAACAAGACATACACTTACTTTAGCAAATAATTACATTTATCTTTTTGGTGGTAGTACAGTTGATGGTGAATTTTCATCAAATTTATATAAGATTAAATTGAATTTATGTAAGTTTATATAATTCAATATGTTTATTATATTTTAATTTTATCATAATCAAAATATTTTATATAAATTTGTTCCAATTCAAGCTGATCCTACAGCAACTACAGAAAAATGGAAAGAAGTACATCCTCGAGGAGGTAAAGAATTAGATGTACGTGTAGTTGCACATTCAACTGTATATCATGAAGCTACTAATTCTTTATTAATTTATGGAGGAGTAGTAGCTAGTGTAGCACGATTTAGTAAATTATCAGATAGAATGTTTGTATTTCAACTTGACAGAAAAGTTTGGTCTGAAATTCATTATCCAAGAGCACATTTAAGAGATACTTATGTTCCAAGAGAACGAGCATTTCATACCTGTAATATTATAGGTAATAACTATTTATTATAATTTTTATGAAAAAAATGATTAAATGTATTAAATTTCAATTATATTATTAAACAAAATCTTAATAATTTATATTAAAAAATTTTACAGGAAATTACTTAGTTGTATTTGGTGGATATTCTCATAGACATAATAAAGAAGAAATATGTTATGATAATCAGATGTATCTTTATCATTTAGGCTGTCACGCTTGGGTAAGCCATGATGTATTAGGTTTAAATGATAAAGGTAAATCGAAATTTCAACATTTAAAATAAAGTTGTGTAAAATTTTAGTTGCTTTTGTTTTAAAACATTTATCGTGATATCTAGACTCTCGTTATCCAAAACAACAGGGAGTATTTGCACATGCAGCAGATGTACGGAATGGAAATACATTATTATTAGTTGGTGGTTATCATGGAAATGTAAATGCTGATTTACTTGCATATACATTACCACCAATGCTTGCTCCAGGAGATGAAGATAATATAGAACCTGAGCAAATTTGTTCAAGACATAAAAGTTTGATGGAATGTACAGCTAATCCAGAATGTGGTTGGTGTTCGGCAGACGAGGTATCTTCCTAATATATATATAAAATATTCATATTATTCATTGAATATTAAAAATCAATTAATATTAAAAATTTTTATTTTATTTTAGATATGTTATGGTAGGACTATTGGTAGTAATTGTACAACAAATCTTCAAACGACGCGTTGTCTAGGTGTTTGTCCTGCGCTTGGAGATTGTCATTCTTGTTTAATACATGGTCAACCTGGTGGAGGATGGGGTACAACTGCACGTGGAAAAAAGTCTGTGTCTAATAAATTAAATCGCGGAACTTGTACTTGGTGTGTTCAAAATGCACGTTGTCATCATAAAGATGATAATTATGGTGTTTGTGGACTTCGAGATGATACACTATCTCAAATACCGGGATGGTGGGGATCGAAAGGTACAGAAATTATAAAAGTTGAAGAATGTCGGGAAATGGATAAAAGACCAGGATTAACATTTTTAAAATATAAACCTCCAGTAAATTTTACTCAACCTGATTCAGTTACGATAGTTAATGCTACTACAGTAGATTTTAGTGTTCCATCCATGCAAGGAGCAAAAACAGAATCAGCACTTGGTGGAGAAATGATTGCTAGATTAATTGGTTTTCTTAGACCACCTCAAGATTTTTGGGATAGCACAGTAGAACATTTGAAAATTTGTGTTAGTTACAATAGTGCAACATTACATGTATCAAGAAGTGATGATCCTCAAGAATTGGTAAATTGCCTTTCCATTTTTCAATCAATTTAACTATTTAAAATATATATTATATATTATATAAATTATTGTATTATATTAAATTATATTAAATATTTAACTATTTAATATATTATGTTATTAATTCTTTCATTAAATTAATTCATTAATTCTTTAACAAATGTAATAAGAAATTAATTTTTATTATAATTATATTTCCTAATTTTTTTTTAGGAATTAGTTGCAAATTTAACTGCTGAGACATCGCAATGTATTTCAACAAAATGGCCAGATGGACATCAAATGATGTTATTACCAGGTCGATATTTATTAGATTTCGAGTCAAAAAGAATGGTTACTACCAGTAGTTATGCATATGCTAGCAAAATGGAAATTACTCATAACAAAAAAACTGAAAATCCAAAAGTATTTACATTTGAATATCTCGAACCATTTCAAAACGGTTCTTGTCATCAATATAAAAACTGCCTCCATTGTTTAACTGATTCTTCATGTGGTTGGTGCGATATTATTAATAAATGTCTTTCACGTTCAATTAACGAAACAGAAAGCTGTATAGCTGATGTAGAATGGGATGAAGATAGAAATCCTATTCGCGAATGGCATTATTTAACTATAACTCCTTCAGCTTGTGCTAATTGTTCTAATTATATATCATGTGAATCTTGTGTTGGTAGTAATTTGTGTGAATGGTGGACAGAAGAAGCTCGTTGCGCAAGAATAGGTAGATTACCTAATGCAGTTATTAGCTTTGATCAATGTCCAATTCCATGTAGACAACGTTCAAATTGTACACAATGTTTAGATGAGCGTGGAAGATGTGTTTGGTGTGAGGCCACACAAGAATGTTTTTCTTTCTCAGTATATACATCTGAATATCAATTTGGTTTATGTCGAGAATGGATGGATCAGGCTGGTTTAATGGGAGTAACATCAAGGTCAGGATCATCCTTAACAGGCAATGATCAATGCAAAAGTTGTACTCGGCACACAAATTGTTCTAGTTGTTTACATTCATTGAGTTGTGGATGGTGTTACAGTTTAGAAAATCCTATTATAGGAGCATGTGTTCAAGGAGATTTCAATCAACCACATGTCAATTGTAGTTTAATTATCAATGAATATCAAAATACAACTTTAGAGATCGACGAATCAGGTTGGGCATATGCTCAATGTCCAGATGTTGATGAATGTGACTTAGGTTTACATGATTGTCATCTTAATGCAGTATGCACAAATACTCATGGTAGTTTTAGCTGTCAATGTAAAAGAGGTTTTAATGGAGATGGCAAAGAAAATTGTACTAAGACTTGTTATGAAAAATGTGTTAATGGTTATTGTAGTGAAGCTCCTGATTATAAATGTGAATGCAATTTAGGATGGACAGGACCAGATTGTAGAATAAATTGTGGTTGTTATAATCACTCTACTTGCATACAAGGACCAGGTATTTGTGATAAATGTCAAGATTGGACTACTGGTAGATATTGCGAAGAATGTAAGGCAGGCAGTTATGGTAATGCTACAACACCTCTTGGATGTAAAAAGTGCAATTGTAATGAACATGGAGATAAAGATCTAGGAATCTGCAATCGACAAACTGGTGTATGTTTTTGTCGTGATAATACGCAAGGGGATATGTGTCAACGTTGTAAGAAAGGTTATTACGGCGATCCAAGAGATGGCGGAATGTGCTATTATAGTTGTATGTCCCGAGGAATGCTTGGCGGAGAAGGAAATGGCAAACAAGGTCTTGGCAGCAGACACTCACAATTATCATTATGGGAAAGTCATTTTGGAGATTCTCCAACAAGAGAGTGTCTTTGGATAGTTAGTCCAAAAACAGATCTTTCATCAGACAACATGCTCTCAGGAATACAAAATGTAATACAATTTACTATACATGATGATATTAATGTTAGTTGTCAAGAAAATAGTGTTTATGTATATGATGGACTTCCCGAATTTGTTTCATCAGTGACTAGTCATCAGAGTCAACTTTTAGGTGTTTATTGTACAGAAAGTACAGATTATCCCGTTACTGTAGAAGCTAAATCAGGATTTCTTACTGTTCATTATAAACAATTGGATGAAGTAGAAGGCTTCAATGCAAGTTATTTAATAATGACTTGTAATAATTGTCCCGGAAATCGGGAATGTCGAAATGGTAATTGCTTATGTAAAGCTGGTTTTGTAGGAATCAATTGCAATATTGAAATATGTCCTAATAATTGCACTTCAACTAAGAAACAAGGAATTTGCGATAAAGGTTATGGCCGTTGTGTCTGTATACCTGGTTATGGAGGACGTGATTGCTCAATTAAGATTAAAGAACATCAATTAATTTTTACTGAATTGTTTAACTCAGAATATTTAGCTGATCATTTGGATCATCTGAGGAAAACTTTACCACGATTTGGTCATACATTGGTTGCTGATAGAAGGGGTAGTTTATGGATGTTTGGAGGCTATTCTCTTAGTCATGGACCTCTAAATGATATTAGACTTTTTGATACTAAAAATAACACATGGATGCCTATTACTGTAGAATCTACTTCAAAGGCCTCTATGCCTCAAGGTAGATACTTCCATGCAACTGAAATAGTTCATAGTAAACAACAAATATATGTTTATGGTGGTTTGACAATGAAACAAGAAGATATTCAAGGTTTATCAAATAACACTCTTAGCGATTTTTGGAAATTTAGTCTACAAAATCAAAGATGGATGCAAATCATACAAGATAAATTTAAAAAAGAACCACCATCTTTAGCTGGACATACATTAACTCTTCGTAGAAATGGAGAATCAGAAAGTCTAATATTAATTGGAGGATTCAGTCCTAAGTATGGTTATCTTGACACAGTATGGGAATTCAATTTAGAAACAGAAGCTTGGGATACAATAAATACAATTGGAAATGGACCATTAGGAGTATATGGCCATTCAACTGTATATCATAGCAAGTCTGATAGTTTTTATATTTTCGGTGGATACACTTATGCAATAAATCGAACATTTATTTCTAATAAATTATACGCATTGAATTATAAAACTCGTATGTGGTCTGTACTTCCTCCATTTGATGATGATCTCACTGATGGAAGTAGTTTGGTAAGCAATATTTTTTTTAATTAATTAAAAAATTTGAATCATTTTTTTTAAGTCATGATCGATTATTATATTTTGTTATAGCCACAAGCTAGATTTCTTCATTCTGCTGTTACCACTGATGAATATATGGTGATATTTGGTGGTCGTCAAAATCCACATAATACTTCGGATTCATTGATTGCTTATAAATATTCATGTAATTTATGGATTCGTTTAATAACAAAAGATATGGAAGTTATTGGATATCCACCACCTCCAGCATATGCTCATGCAATGACTCATGCTGATCCAGAATCTAATGCTGTATATGTAGTTGGTGGTTTTGATGGTGGAATTAAAAGTCATGTTACTCTTATAAATATACCGGAAGATTTGTGTAATCTTTGGACAGATAAAATAACTTGCAGAAAATATTTTGGATGTTCTTTTTGTTCTGTTATTACAATTAGTGGAAATAATGCTTCATTTTGTTTTTCTAATGAAATATCAATTAATAAGGATGATAGGTAAATTCTAATATTTAATAAATATTTTTTTAAACATATTTATAAATATTTCTAAATATATTTAAAAAAATATTTTAGATGTGATATTAATGTTACTCAAGCTCAACGATCAAATGGAATCTTTTGTAATTTAGAATGGATGATGAGTAGAAAATGCCAAAATTTTAAAACTTGTACAGAATGTTTAGCAGAATGGCCATATTATAAAAGTGAAGAACCAGTGTGTAAATGGTGTACAAATTGTCCAAATGGAAAGTGTATACCATCTGAGAAAGATTGCGACGAATTAAATAAATGCAGTATTAGACAAATATCAGTAACAGATGTAAATCAATGTGGAGAACGTCAATGTCCAGCAAGTGATTGCGAGAAATGTAATAATCTTGAAGGTTGTGTGTGGACAAGGCAGGTTTTAAAAACTTGTGAGTTAAAAAATTATTCAAAGAATATGTAAATATATATAATACTTTATAGACAATTTTTAATAATTTTTCAAAATATTTGTAGCTGAATTGGGACTTGCAGTAACAGGAGAACCTGTCTATGATTGGAATTGTGTACCAGAACATATTTTTGAAAGATCAAGTATTAAAATGGGAAGTACGCAATGTGAAAAACGATGTGGTGATCATAAGGACTGTAAAAACTGTCTAAAAGGTACAGGAGCCGAAGGTGGTTGGCGAGAATGTAGATGGTCAACGCAACTTAATGAAGTAAATACATAATTCTAAAAAAATAAATATATATATGTGCGTGCGTGCGTGCATGCGAGAGAGAGAGAGAGAGAGAGAGAGAGAGAGAGAGAGAGAGGAGAGAGAAATTAAAATTTTTTTCAATTTATTAATAAATTTTAGTGTATTTCTCCATCATATCAACCTCTGTACTGTGCTGGCGGTGTATGTGGTTTAGTATTACGTAGTTCTGATATGGATCATTGTCCTGAACCATGTTCAGTTTTTAAACAATGCAGTACATGTTTAAAACATTCACATTGTGGTTGGTGTTCTTTTGATTCAGCTAATATAACTGGTCAAGGAATATGTACAGAAGGTTCATTAGAAGCACCAGCAGATCATCCAGCTGGTGGAACATGTGAAATGTTATATTATCAACAATTACCCACAGTTGAACTAAGTAAGAAAATCTAATATATAATATATAATGATATAATGATTCGAATATTATTGATTAGTCAGTTTTTTTAATTTTATTTTTTTAATTTTATCAATACTAATATATAAAAATTATAATATTTGTAACTATATTATTTTTATTTGTATTTAGAGTTTCTAGAAATCTCAGATAATGTTACAATGTCAATTCCAAATGTGATGTCGAAACCAATATTTTCTTGGCATTATGTGCGATGCCCACCAGAAAATGAATGTACGAATGGCCACCATACATGTTCCATAAAAAGTGAAAAATGTTTTGATTTAGAAGAAGGATTTGAATGCATGTGTGGCGACGGATATAAAACTGAAACGTAATTTTTATTAAAATATTTTTCTTTTTATTACTTATATATATATATATATATATTATTTTATTAATAAAGAAACAATTCATTAATTATTTTATATTTATTTCAGTCCATCATCATTTAATGAATTTGGAAGGTGAGATTCAAATTTTGAGCTATTTATTTATATATATTATTTATTAAATATTTTTAATATTAAGTACATATAATTTATTTTGTTCTTAGAAAAATTTGCGTTCCAATGTGTACACAAGGTTGTGTTAGAGGAACATGCATAGAACCAAATATTTGTCGTTGTGACTTCGGTTATGTAGGTGCCAATTGTTCCATTCAGTGCCAATGTAATGGTCATAGTAATTGTGCAGGCCCAGATAAATTAGACGTTTGTTTAGAATGTCATAATAATACAATGGGACCACAATGTGACAAATGTAGACCTTTATTTGTTGGAAATCCAGCAGATAATGGTCAATGTGTACCATGTCTTGAATATTGCAATGGACATACTCGAATATGTATTAATGAAAGCATGACTGTACCGGTAATTTATATATTAAAAAGTATAATTGAAGATAAAAAAAATCTTATTTTTTTTAAATAAAATAAATAAAAAATAATATAATTTTTTTAGGATCCAAATTCAATTGAAAAAATGTCTATAGAATTACTAGAAAAACAATTAGTCGAAGGCCCTGTAGCTAAAGCCAAATGTGTAAATTGTGGAAATAATACAAGAGGTGACAAATGTGGTGAATGTATGACTGGTTATTTCAGAGGAACAGAAGATCTTCGTGATATATGTCGATCGTTAGTATTATTATATCAATATTTTTATTTATGTATATTTATATTATATATGTGTACTATATATATTATTAAATGTCTTTTATATTATTAAAAATTTATTATTTCTAGTTGTCAATGCCATGGACATGGATTCACTTGTGATCCAGTAACAGGAGAAAAATGCAATTGTGGTAATAATACAGAAAGTGATCCAACTTGTACTAGTGGACCTATGAAAAGTACAAATACTGGTAGTTCACCATGTTGGATGGTACAATGTAGTAAATGTAAAGAAAATTATGCTGGGACACCAACAATGGGTCATCAATGTTATAAAACTGTAACTGTTGACAACAAAATGTGCTTTGATTCTAAATTAATAGGTGAATTATTTAACATATTTATATCATTTATTATATCGTATATAAATATATTTATTATTATATTTTATTATATTATTTTATATTAATTTTCTTCAAAAAATTATATTATAGTTTAGAATTATACATATATTTTGATCAAATATTACTTTTCTTAAATTGCATCTTTCTATTATGTCAGGAGGATCTTATGGTTCGTAACTCCTCCATTGTTAAATTATATATTTTTTTTTCTTTTTTCATTAATTTTTGTTCATTTATATGAAAACTTATTATTTTCACTAATTACAGATGAGTGTAAAATGAAACCAAAACCATTGAATCCCGGTCAAACGGTATTTTATATGGTACAGCCTCGTTTTATGAATGTTGATATTAGAGTTATGGTGGATGTTACACAAGGGGCTTTAGATCTATTTCTTAGCCCTCGAGATGATTCTTTTGTTGTTACATTAAATTCAACAACAGGATATCAAGATGTAAGAGTTTTATATACTTTTTTTTTATTTATAAAACATTGAATATTAAATATCTTCTGAATTAAAAATTATATCTACAGGTTGAACTAGACAGTAGATTTATGTGGCGAAAAAATTCACATAATATGTGGTTAGATGAACAGACTCGTAGTCAAATGAGATTAGTCGAATTCCAACCTCATAATACTTTTTCATTTGCTTTAAATGGCACTACAACCGAACCGAATTGGAATACTGGTCCTCAGTATATTGTAATGGAAAGATATGCAGAAGGTTTAGCTACATTTTTAACAATCGAGAATAGAAATACATTTTTGGTAGTTAGAAATCTTACGAATCGGTTAGTGTTAACATTACCACAAGACAAACATGAACTTCATGAAACAAAATTTCACATCGCGTTAAGAGCGATTGATCCTGTGCATCCAGAAATTAGTGGTCGAGCTGCTTACGGAATGATTTTCTTTCGACAGGATCAACTTCATATTGATTTGTTTGTCTTTTTCTCCGTATTCTTCTCTTGTTTCTTTTTATTTTTAGCCGGTTGTGTAGTTGCATGGAAAACGAAACAAGCAGCGGATGTTCGAAGAGCACGGAGAAGACATGTTGTCGAAATGTTGCATATGGCTAAAAGACCTTTCGCATCAGCTACTATCATTTACGATCGAGATGGTAATGACTGTAATCCAAGCTCGCCTCAGCGAAAAAGCAGACGTAATAAATTAGTCAGCTTTCATAGTGATGTTAGACCTGTAGCAGTTGAACCTACTGATGATGGAGTTGCGGCTGTAGCCACTGTTTTCATTAGATTGCCTGGAGGTCGACAAGCTCCAGTTAAATTAGCTCTTGGTAGCTCATTAATACTGTTAACTAGAGTTTATCCAGTTAACAGTAGAGTGTTCCTAAGACGTAGAAACAGTCATGCATTGAACTGATCTTCTTTCTATAAATATTTGTTTCGGCTATTTTTAAGTCTGTTTATGCTCTCAAAATTTATAGCAAAAACATGTAGCATGTTTATTTTTTACAATTATTAATCATTTTTTTGTTGATCTCATCTTTTTAATCGTCAATCTTGTGGTATCATAATACATAAAATCATTTTTCAAATTGGAAAACTTTTTATAGCAGATAGCATTTATATTTCTCGAATTTATATAAGTTGAATCGATTTTCAATCATTGAATTTTTAATAATATTGTTTGTTTATTGGCATTATTCAATGTCTGCCAGTAATATGAAATTTTAGTCGAAAGGTTGTATTATAGTTATAGAGAAACACTTGTAAGGATATTTAAATTAAATGATAATATATATACATATACACAAATACATATATATTGTCATACCATTCCATGACGAGACTGTATGTTTGTATATAAAAATCTGTAATTTACACGATTTTGTAGAAGCATTTTATGTAACAAGACATGATTTTATGTCTTGAAACATTTGTAGCTATCTTCAGAGGAAAATCAATGAATTTTGTTGATATTTTAAGAAATTTTCTATAACTATCTATCAAATTTATGCAAAGAAAAGACTACAAAGGCAACTATAATATTTTAAATTATTATTTAAATTATCAAAAATTTATATTTCAATTAATTAAGAAATTGCTGAAAATTTTGCTAAAAATAAATTCAATAATATTCAAATCTTAATAAATAACGAAAATAACTAATTTTTTTATTATTATAAATAGATTATTTTAAAATATTATCTATTTAAATACATTATAAAGCTTGAAGTGATATAATATTTCAACACAAATGTTATAATGGTCCTTTGTAGATAATTATAATATAACAAAAACGCAATAATAATCTGTCAACTGACATTATTACTTTTCAGCAGTTGACAAACAGGGTGATTTTTAAATAGGATGGATATACATAAATATATGATTATGTATGTTTGTATGCTATGTTAAAAAGTATTGTTAAAATGGCGACCGAAAATAAATTATATCCGCATAATTAAAAAACGATCAGTATTAGAAGTTGATTGGAAGCTCGATAATGCGTGCGAAAAGGTTCCTATGCCAAAAAATGAGGAATAATATAAATGTCATAGTACATATGATATATTTATGACAAAGATTTTAATTAAAAAATGTTGTAAATTGGAGTATGCACATTAAAAATATTAATTATAAAATATCAATAATACGATATATATATATATACACATATATATCGTCATTATCGATTTAAATATGGTGAAACTAAAAACAAATGTGTCCTTTATCAAAGATAATAAGCCAAGATTACATATTAATCAAAATATAGTAATAAAAATAGGATATTGATGTAATGATATTAATAACGCGTACTTTTAAGATAATTTTAATAAGCAAATTAATTGAGAAAGTGAGCAACGTGACATAGACACATAGTGACATAGATGTAAATATCATGAGGCGTTTTTGCTAAGCTGTTATATGGTACCAAACAAGTTTAATATATTCTGTACAGATTGTTTCTCAGGATAGTTGTTACACAACTTGAATATTTCTTACTGTATTTATAGAAAAAACTTTTCAGAACTAAAAAACATATATTGTATATCGTTTAATCTCTTTTTTAACGCAATTTATTTTTTGTATAGTTAAGATATTGTAATTAATATGTATAATAATATTTGAGTAAATTTTTAAGATATTTATTTTTGATAAATGATAGGATTAATGACATTTTCTGAAAGTACAGTGTGAAATTTTCAAGTTATTTTTGGGAGCATTCTAATTATGTCATCTATGTTATAAGAATGCACGGTTCCTTGATTGTAGGAACAATCATACACTGAGCAAATATTAAGTATGCATATGATAATGTTGTACTTTTTATCTATTGAATCTCCGAATTTAATTTTTTTGTTTTTTCATAAGTCTCGTCATATATCTTGTCAAATAATATTTTTGTTACCATTTGCTATATTTTCTTTCTCTCTATCTTACTAGCATATTTTTTTTCGTTTCATTTTTATTACAGTATACGATTCTATTCGTTTACTTTCATGCGACCAACTATCCTAATTATTATCGCGAGTCTGTAAACATATAAGAATAATACAAACTAACATTTATATATATATATATATATTTATATAGATTTACGTAAATAGAGATATATATATTATATATATAATAAATGTATATAATATATACCATGTATACATAATGAATGTATAATTTCTCGGTTGTACAGATCTGAGCGTTATCTTCAAAATGTTCTATTTTATATATAATTATTACATTGCATTCAATGTAAGCGATATCTTCCAATGCCGGCATTGCATCATCGCGTTAACAAAACATTTGTAACATTATGAGCTACCATCATTTGTAAAAGTGAAAATGAAAAGGTTGTGAAGTCCGAGTGTCGGCATCCTTAGAAGGATTCGTCAGCTTCATGAATTTATTTGTAATATGGAGAAGAATATGAGGTTGTGCTAATGAAGATTAATAAATTGTATTGAGAAAGCTTTAATAAACATGTGTAAAATTGGGTTTCATTTGATGAGTTTTCATTGTCGTTAAATAAGTGAAAGATTTTATTTCATTAAATATAATATTATGAATATAATATGTAATATATGTTATATATGATAATATTGTGTTACTATAGTAACCACATACCAACAAATATCTGGACTTCAAGGTTTGATTAAGCATGCGATCGAATTTGTATGAAATGAAATGTGAAATATATGAAATATATTCACACATTTTTTAATGTCAAATATATAGATTTATATAGATTTTATATAAAATTGTGAACGTTTTTACATATATATTTATACATAAATTAAAATAATAAATAAACATATAATGAGATTTAAAATTTCTGCACAAAATCGTAATGGTCACAAGCGTTTAGTAACTTGTGTTGCATGGAATTCAACAGAAGAAATTTATTCTTGCGGGTATGATTTAATATTTATAAAATAAAAATCTAAATAATTATATAAAATTATCATATTTTTCTCTTTATTTACAGAGAAGATCATTTATTAATATCATGGCATTTGGAAGGTGGAATTGCACATTCCAATATTATTACAGAATTTCCTGATGATTTTTATCCGACCGATATGCAATGGCATCCGCGACCAAATTATGCAGTGTTAATTACAAAAAAACAATCATTGGATATTCTCTTAATTACTACAGCTGATGGTATTTGTAGTTTTGTTTTTTCAATATTAAGAGTTCTCAGAAACTTTATAATTATATTATTTTATATATTTTTTTATTATTAGTTTTTATCTTAATATTCTTTTTATAGGAAAATTTCATTTAATTAATAAAAATGGACGTATAGAAAAAAGTGTAGATGCTCATAAAGGAGCAACAACAGTAGGTAGATGGAGCAATGATGGCTCTGCTCTTTTGACTGGTAGTTAAAACACTTTATAAAGACATATGATTCAAATGATTATAATTCAGTTAATTTGTTATTATAATTTTAGCTGGAGAGGATGGTTTGATAAAAGTATGGTCACGTAGTGGCATGCTTCGTTCTATTATAGTTAAAGGAATGTTTTCCATATTATCTGCTGCTTGGAATTTAGATTGTACAACAGTATTATATTCTCAAGGAGCTCACTTAACTTTTCAATCACTTAATTCTAATTCTAAACCTCGAAAGGTTAGACAATCTTACAAGTACATAATATTTTATTTTATATTTTAATTATAGAATAATGTTTAAAAGAAAATTGTATTTTATTAGTTATTAGCACACGATGGTCTAATTTTGGTTTTATGTTGGAATCACACTCATGGATTAATCATTTCTGGTGGGGAAGATTGTAAATATAAGGTACAACATAAACTTATAATATAAAATTTAATTATAATAAATAACAGAATCAATGAGAAATTAAATTTTTTTTCAAGGTATGGGATTCTAATGGTACTCAATTATTTTCAAGTAATGTAGAGGATCATCCTATTACAGCACTAAGTTGGAGTTATTCTGGAGATTATTTTGCTGTTGGATTATTTAATACAATCAAACTTTGTGATAAAACAGGAGTTAGTTCAAATTATATATAAATTTTAATATTTAATTATTGTATGAGTTCTTTTTTATTGATATTATTGATATTATATATATATTTTTAGTGGTCTCATTCATTAGAAAAAATTAATTCTGGAAGCATATATAGTATTGCTTGGTCAAGTGATAGTACTCAAGTAGCTATGGCTTGCAGTAATGGAAATGTATTAACAGGTCATATAATAGACAGGTATAAAAGATATAAAATTAAATTATTGTTTTAAATAATTATATTTATACTTAATATCAATGATATTAAGTATAGAATTTATACACTTAATATCAATGAAAAATAGGAGATTGGAGTGGAATAATTATGAAGCCACATTGATTAAAAGAAAAGTGATTGAAATCAGAGATGTGGGTAATGAAACACGAGAAGAATTAGAGATATCAGATCGTGTAGTTCAGCTGGAATTTGGTTTTGATTATTTAGTTGTAATTACACCAGCACAATGTCATGTTTATTCGGTAGTAAACTGGAATACTCCTGCCATATTTGTTTTGAAAAATACTAGTGTATCAGCAATACTTCTTGCAGAAAAGTAAATATTTTATTTTACACAGAACACAAATTTTAGAAGAAATAATATTTAAAATATATTATTTTGTATAGGCATTTTTTATTGATTGAATGGAATTCTGTATCATTATATAGTTATCAAGGTCGTTTATTAGGAACTCCAAAATGGAAAGGAATGACACAGGAACGACTTTATTCCCCTTGTATATCAGTATGTTCCGATACTTTAGTTATACGATCGCAAAGTAACGAAAAACGTATGATTAAATAAATACTTCAATCAATACAAAAACATTGTAACATAAAAAAATTGATATTAAAAGTTATTTTTTAGTACTTCATGTATTGGAAATGGCTTACAATAAACCTATAACAGAAAGCCAGACTTATACACATCTTCAAAATATTACAAGAGTTGCATTAAATCACATTGGCGGTGTAATAGATCGACAAGTAGCACTAATCGATATAAATAAAGATTTATTTCTTGTCTCTATAAGAACCACTGGTTTTGGTAGAGTATGTAAAATAGGTATGCAATTTTAAAAAAGTATTTGTATTTAATATATAATTTCAGCAATATTCTATAATTTTTCATCTTTTTAGCTGCTATGGCACAAGATATTGCATGGGCTACTGATGCAAATGTTTTAGCGGCGATGTTGGATGCAACATTATCTGTATGGTTGTGTCCTAATTGTGTACATTATAGTGATCGTAAAATTATACGAAAGACAAGAATCGATAAAGAAAGCAGGTTTTATTCTTTTATCTCTATTATATAAAATATATTTTATTATTCTTTTTTTAATAATGATATATAAATAGTTTATTTATTTATTTATTATTAATTTTTTTATTTATATTTTTAGTGAATTTGGTAAACAACCAAGTATAGCAAATGTTTATAATGGGATAGTAATGATACGACGTGGTGATGGAGCATTAGTAGCTTCTTCCTTTTATACATTTTTTATTAGTCTTTATCAACATATTTTAAACAAGAAATGGAAAGAAGCGTTATCGCTTTGTCGAATCGCTCAGGTAATTAATATCTCTTCTTCCTTTTTTTATAGTAGATTAAAATTTTTTTAAAATATAAAAATTATTAATAGAATGAAATATTATGGACTTGTATGGCCGTTATAGCAACTGATAATAAAGAATTAAACGCTGCAGAAGAAGCATATGCAGCAATTTCTCGATATGATAAAGTTGATTATATTCAGTATATAAAGGTAATAATTTCATTCTTCTAATTTCTATTTGTCTAATAAATTAATAATTTAAGTTTTTCGAAATTAGAGTTTACCAAATAAAACAGAAAGACTAGCAGAAATGGCACTTTTATCAGGAGATTTGTTAACTGCAGAAGGTATACTTTTGCAAAATGGATTAATAGAGGAAGCTATACGAATTAATATCGAAATATACAATTGGAATAGGTACTTTCTTTAATATATAAACAAAATTTTTAATAAATAATATTGTTTTTTTTTTAATTTATCAATTATTAATTTAGAGCATTAGAATTGGCAATCAGACATAAAAAGCAATTGGATGAAGTATTAAACACAAGAAAAAAATATCTTCAAATAATTAATAAAAAAGAAACAAATCAAAGTTTTCTTGCATATATGGCAAATGTTGCAAAGACACAAGTAAATTGAATACTCTTATTTTATCACTTTGTTTCAAATGTTTTGCACATAATTTTGTTTTTTTTTACTAACTAGTGAGACCAAAACTATTTTCACCAGGAGATTATCGAGGACATTTCATTTAAACGAGATGAAGAATTATTAGAAATAGAAACACAAAAAAACGAAATATTTGATCAAGAAATACATATATGAAAGCGTAACGGTATTTTCATTTATACAAATTACTTATTAAAATATGTAAAAATAAATTACAATGAACCTGTGTTTTAAAATATCTTGATTAAATAAAATTTTTAATTACTATAATAGAAACATTTTATAAAATGTCAAGATGAAATGTTTAATGAATTGTTTATGGAGGTAATATATAAATATTTTACAATTAATGTTATTTATATTTAAATATTCTATTAAATTAGTTTTTATACTTACTTATATTTAATATGTGTTATAAAATTAAAAGTTTTAAAAACATAGAAATAATAAAAATAATCAAAGTAGTGAATATAAATAATAAGATAAGTTTTCGCGAATGCCATGTAGTTTCTTTTGTTACAGATCTGTATCGCGTTGCTAAAGCGGACTGAAAAAAAAATATATATCTTTTTTCAAATTAATATTTAACTATTATATTTTTATTCTATTATATTTACTTTGTCTTACCCATCCTCCGTTAGCTTGGATCCATGCAGCAAGATCCTCTTCTAAAACATCTGTCATTCCTTGAATCAAAAAGATTTTTAAAGATTTTTAAATATCGCAAAATGTTTAATATTTCATAAATATTTATTTATACAATATTTTTAGCATTTTTAGTTAAATTGAAATACTTTTAAGGCCAAAATATCAAAAAAAAAAAAAAAAAATATAGAAATATGATTTTAATTTAATAAATAAAATAATTACCTCTCTGTATGGCAGGTAAATATTCAGGTTTTCCCTGACGTACACAATCCACGGCAATACCACCAGCAATTGCATAAAGAGCTACCACTTTACTCCAAGTCATCTCACCATTTCTGATCATCTCTCTAGAGACATCTACGATGGCCTCGCTAGCAGATTGTTCCGATGAGAAACTACTACATCCAATTTGTCGTGCAACACGATTGAATAAATTTGGATGCATTTTCTCGAGTTCAGCTCCAACTGATACTAATTCTGGATAAACTTCTCCCACAACCGCACCACCAGGAAGCAACATGGCACTTCTCATTCTTTTCAATCCAAGCTTTCGATGAAAGATTCCAGACCGTTTCAAACGATTTCGGATATATTGAGCACATAAGGAAGATCCCTGTATCATTAATTAAATAAATCATTACTTTCAATTTTTAATTTTATTTTCAATGTTAAACAAAAAAAATGTTTTAATTCTTAATAAAATTATTTAATTAATATTTAAGAAATTTATATTTCAGATAATGATATTATTACTTGAGACACTGTAAGCTCGATTGAAGCTGAAACTGTTCTCCATCGAATTGTATGAGAAATTTTTCTGGATACGACATCACTAACATTACTAAATCTTCTCCGCGCCGAATCAACTACATGAAAAGGTGAGACTTCTTGATTATTAGCAACTGGAAAAGCTGCCAAATTCGAATGAAGAGATAATGCGAGACTATTTCTGCGATAAGGTTGTCCTGTATTCCCAGAATTGTCCTCCAAGCCACGTAAAGATCCGACGAATCCAGACATTGAAGGATTTTCCGTGGAGAATTCCTGCCATTCAGGTTTTTCAGGTGGCTTGAAAAATTTTAATGATTGTTAAAAAATTTAACACTTTGTTTCTTAAAATGAGGAATAATTTTTTTTCATTTATGGAAAAAAATAGATAAACATTTAACTTACTAGAAATTCTGATTATTGATTTATGAATTCAATAGAAAGAATTTCGTATAAAATTAATTCATTTCATATCATTAATAGTTGCATTGCAAATTTTTGAAAAATTTATGAACATAAATAATATTATGAACATAAATAAGACAAGAATCGAAATAAAAAAGTAATTATGTTTAGCATAATTTTTTAAATAGAAAATTAATCGCAAATCTATTCTGATAATATTTCAATTTTATAAAAACTCTTTTAATTTTAAAAAGATTTTAAAAAGAGCTATTGATGAATATTTTCAATTCCTTTATTGTAATCTTAAAATATACAAATACACACTATCATGCATATTACGAAAAAAGAACGATGATAGATTCTTTTCTCCTTGTTACTACAAAAAGTTGTATATTCACACCAGACATCGTAATTATTATTCTGCAAGTATAGTTGATGTTATCTCACAGCCTTATTTAATGCAGCTATTTGATATGCTTCGCGGTACTTTGTATTCCGGCCCGGTAAGATACAATCTCATTGTATGTATATTACTCATTTTCATTCGATCATTTACCTTCTTAACGAGCAGAATTAGGCCCGGTATGTGTCATTTTTAAATTACTCCGCGTGATTCCTTGACTAAAATAAGATGTTAATTAAAATATTATATTTTAAAAATACAATATAACAAATCGTGAAATTAAGAAAAGAGTTAAATATTTCTTTAAAAAGTATAATATATTCAAATTAAAAAAAAAAAATAAAAAAAAAATTTATACTTTTTACTTTGAAATTAAATACTTTTTATATTTGTTTTAATAAAAAGAAGACTTGATGGAATATTAATGGAATTAATAAAAGCATATAGAATAAACATAAAAAATAATATAAAAACATTAGAAATATTTATCTCGATCGATTTTATATTTAAAAACAATATATTTTTGTAAACAAATTAATCTGTTTACTAGATTTGAAAATTAAAAACTGATGACCTTCAAGAAAATTTTAGTTATCAGTTATCAATGATGTCTAGTTAGTTGATTATCATTTGAGAGTTTATATAACTTTACTATTCTATCATTTGTATTCTAATATTTGTAAATAATAAAGAAGAATGTATTGGAGAATATATTTACAATTAAAAAGAATAAATATCCTATAAATAAATAAAAATATTGATTTATAGTTTGTATTATTATATAAGATCAAAGTACTAAATATTTTAGTAAACATAAGAAAAGAAATACAAATTGAAGTTTAAAATTAATTCAGAAAATGATAAAAAAACACATTAATTAAGAATTATTTAATGTTACAAAAATAAAATAAAAAGCATGATATAATAAATTACACATTTAATTTATATATACTTTATTATATTATATTACATTTTTATTAAGTATAAGATGTAAGTATATTAAGTATTGAACGATTATCAAGAGATAATTATAAGTGTTTATAATTATATATAAGAATTATTAAAAAAAAAATTTTTTATACGATTTAATTTCTGATAATCTTATTATAATCGATATTATTTTATAAATGTAATTAGTCAGATGGATACTAAGATTTAAAGAAACAAAAGTTATTTTAATAACTTTCATTTCATTGAAAAAAATTAAATTTAAAATTTAATTTAAAATTTAAAATTTAAAAATTATAAATTTGAAAAGGAAATATAAAAAAATTGATAAAATATCAGATTATAAGAAAAAATAGAAAAATTGGAAAATCAAAAAAAAAAAGCAGAACAAATTTTTGCCACTTAATCTTTTTTAAATTTAAGCATATTTCGTTGAAAAAATGAAGTGAAATATATTTCCTTCGCTTAACAGAAGTTCTTGATCTCTATCAAGCGTATCAAACTACAGGATATGGAAAGCATTAAATCTGTAAACATAAAGCGGAGAGTTGAATGAATTTACCATCGGCAATACCGCCTCCTTCTGCACCCCCAAATGAAAATCCATCTTCATTATGATTAACATGCAATCACCTCATTAGTCACTGTCATCTAACTCGTTCCATATACACATTATATGCGTAATATGTTACTGAATTATCGCTTATCAACGGTATAACTGGCCGGTTGATTATCGTTCGAGAAGTATGCGCGATGGCGTGTTAAATCGTTTGTTTTATCAATTTCCAAGGCTTATTTCCGTGCTACAATAATGCCTGATAATAAAGTCGTCATTTTTGCATTTTTTTAAATGATGAATAGTATTAATTTCTTATTAATATATCCTGCATAAAGTTATATAAAGGATGAATGATTTTTAATCTTTGATCAAAATAGAGAAGTAATTAATTTAAAAAATTACAAATCACATTTGTAATGAGATTTAAATTATTCTCGAAATACAATAAATTGATTTAAGAAAGAAAATCATAATTACTTATTATAATTACTTTTTCTAGATTATTATTCTAGATTACTTATTCTAGAATATTATAGTTATAATTACTTTTATAGTTTTATAGTTTTATAGTTACTTTAAGAACAAACTAAATTAAATTAACTGATAATTAGAACAATGAACTAAATTGTTTAGGAAAAGATAGCAATTAATTAAGTTTTAAAAAGATACTTGAACAAAAATGGAATACTTTGACATCGTTTCTACAGTTGCATTAATTATTTATTGCATGGATATGTTCGTAACAATATGATTAATTTTGTTTTTACTTAAAATATTGAAATTTTAATTTCAACCATTATTTTATAATTTATTCACATGTATAATATAATATAATAAATGTGTTGAAACTTTAAGATGTATTGAAACGTGACCGTTGATAATATTTAATAATATATTTTAAATATTTGTATGTAAATGATATTTATTAGTTCATTTCCTATATATTTATAATATTATTGACAATATTGATTATAATCTATATATCTACACATATATAAATATATATCATTTAATATATAATCTATATCTACAATTTTAAAAAATTTATTATAATTTGTTATTAATATATACAATCAAAAACACATAAAATTAATTATAAATTAATTATAATTAATAAATTTTTAATACAATGTAATTAAACAAAAAACTAAATATAAAAGAACTTTCTTAGTTTTAACTAAAAACATCATCACATTTTACAACATTGAAAAATCGAGCTTATAATCAACAAAATTGTATAGGCAAGTGTTAGATAATTATATACCGTAAAAAAACATTTATCGCGTGTCTTGTTTGAAAAGTTTTGCATAGAAACGTGCAGATGGCATGAACGTGATCAAAATTATGAAACATTCAAGAGAAATGTTGTTATATTACTTAAATTTACTTAAAATTAGATTTTGTTCAAATTTTTTTTGTTATTTTTAAAAATATATAAATATTTGTGATTTTCTATCACGTATGTTATTGCAGTTTAAACTTTCATAAATAATATAATAATAAAATAATTTTTTATTATATATATTTTATATAAAAAAAATATTTAAATTTTGAAATTAGATTGATATTTAAAGAATAAGAATTTTGAAATTAGATAGATATTTAAATTTTGAAGATTTTAGATTGTGAAAAAATGATCAAAAATATTGAAATGAATATTAAAATATCCATGAAGTATAATTTTTTTTTAGTTTAGAATATTTAACTAGTATAAAATTTTTTTTAAATTTATTATTATTAAAATTTGAGCTATTTCACAAATACATTATTATTAAAATTATTATAGAACAATTGCATATTCTCTATTGAATCAGTAATTAACTTTGTTAATACATTGAAAGAAATATAAATCATATAATCTTAATATCTAATATCTTATAATTTAATTATAGTTATACTTGTATTGCTTTAATTATTTTAAACATTTTATTCGAAAATCTATTTTAATAAATAAACTTTGTGCACAATAAGTATCGGAATTTAATTGAAAATAAATTGTCTTTAATCGATAAATCAACGAGAGCGTGTAACAATTAAACCGCTAAGAGCCAATAAATTTTCTCGTGCAGTTAAAGTCAACATAAACGTAAGAACATTGAGAAAGAATATAAATCACGTTTTGAGAAAGCGAATCGATCAAGTAAGTGATTCTTTATTCCGAGAAAGTGCTTACTTCGAGTGCCAGTATCGAACGTATCGAATTCTTCGAATCATCAATCGTGGCCTTTTGCGAACATAGTTCGTATTTGAGGCACGTACACTGATATAACTCACTAAATACAAATGTCAGGTATTAAGAAAAAAGAAAAATTTAATAAATAAATTAATTAATTTTCGAATAAATTTTTTAATGATATTAATAAAGATTTTAATAAAGAAATACAACTTTTATATGAAGATTTAAAAAATTGAAAATTTTCCCGCTTTCTTTTTATTCTTTTTATCTTATTGTCAATTATGCGATATCTTATGCACATGCGCACAAATTGTTTCCTAGTAGTTTATCAAGTAAGTGATTCAAATTAATAATTATCTGCATATTTTAACATGTTTTTATGACAACAAGAATAATTTATTAAACAAAACAAAAAAAAATAAATATAAAATTAAAATGTACTTGAGCATTAGATGTACATATTTAAAATCATATATATTATATATGTAAAAGAGCCAATGTAACATATATATAAAATAACATAATTTATGATTATTATTATATTAATTATATATAATTAATTTTATATTGAAATAATGAAATAGAATTAACTAAAAAATCTAAAGAAATATCAATTTTAAATTGTAATATTAATAAAAGACATTTTATTAGATATTTTCTTTTTTTAAATTATTGATATCTTGTTAATAGTTGCTATATCGTTTCTTTACATATATTTACATATTTTATTGCTTTGTCGATTAGACTTGCCGATAAATTTCAAAGATGACGTAAGGAAGAAGAAAAAAAAAGAAATATAAAATTGAAAGGGCGACGCATAACTAACAGTACGAAAATAGGTCGAGACAACATAAAAGATGCGGGCTACATATTCTTCAGGTAACGGCTATACCCCCCACCTTTTAGAAATTTTCCCAAAAAATGAAACAAATTTTGTCATACAAAAATTACTTTCTTTATTATCACTTGCAATGATTAACAAATGATGATTTAAAAATTTTTTTAATATAAAAAAAATAAAACAGAGTATTTATAACATTTGATATGATATGAATATTTGAATAATCTAAACAATCACAGTTAAAATACAAAATATCATTTTCGATAAGGAAAAGTTATTTCTTAATAGGAAAAATATTATTAAATTATCATTACAACTAACAAAATTTTATTTATCTATTTTTATTGACAATTAATTATTTGCATGTGTTTCAACAAGAAGCTATATTATTACCTTGAATATTAACGAAGTACGGAGAGTTATCGTTTTTTTCTTTGATGATCGCACAATTGTATTTCATGTGTGAAATTGGTTCCACACACTTTGTGGAAATTTGTACGTTCAATCACTTTGTTATACACTACATTAAAAGTTTCTACAACGAACGATTCATTTCTGTTAGAACACAGTGATTTTATATTAATTAGATTATTTTTATAGTTAAAAAAAAGAAAAGAAAAATAAAGATTATAGTTATCGAAAGATGCGAGAACACGATGCGACACATCGAAATTGTAGGGAACACAGCGCAAACAATACTGGTGACTTTCAATTACATATGATACAACTTGAAAGTGTTATATGAACGCCGTGCGAATGTTATCCCTACTTGCATCGTTGTACAACGGTTGAGTCACTATATAAAAAATATTTCATAAAGAAACATATTTTAAAAAATTTAAAAAATTGAAATTAATTTTTTATTCATAAATATGTATATGTATAAATAGAATTATTCTGAAATATTTCATAATATTTTTTCAATTTGTTTTTTTTAAAATAACTTAATATAATAAAGTTGATTCATTGATTTATTATATAAATTCATTAGAATGTTATTGAATATATATGAAATATATGAATAAAAATATAATAGATTTCAGATGAAAATAATTGTATAAATTTGATAGTTTAATCATACATATAAAAATAATATTATCAATCATATTAAAAAGAATTTAAATATTATATTTATAACTAAAATCAAAAAGTTTTATGACCATAATAATACATGAAAAATATATGAACACGTAATATTAAATATGAAATGTAAAAAATCTTAATACAATTATAATTTAATGATCAATTAATATAATCTTTAAATAAATATAAATATTTAAAGATGAAATTTTTTAAAAATATTTTTTTATGATTAAAATTAAAAATTTATATAATGATATTGATATTGATATAATGATAATGATCATTAAATTTTCATCATATATATTAATTTTAAATAATTAATAATTAATAATAGTATTGATTATTTTTAATTCAATTTTATATCTGTTGAAAATGGTCACTAAAAATGTAAGGGATTCTGATGATAACATTTTATATATTTCTTTTAAATATTACTTAAATTACTATAAATTTTGCAAAATGTAATTGATCATTAAAAAAGTTATATTTGATTGTCTAAATTTTGAAAATTTTGTTAAATTATCATTAATATTGTTAAAATGTATAATCCAAAATTATTGATTGTTTTTATATGAATTTAAATAAAAATTATTTTCATTTATTTCTTATCTATAGCATTTTAAAGGATTTTGGGATATCTTCTCTTTAAATAGATTTTACATTATAATTTAGTTTTACATGTTGGTTTTTTGGGATCACATGCAATATATTTGTATAATAAAGAATGTCACATGAAATATCCTTCTTAAAATAGAAGGAATAAATGGGATGATAAATTCGTATAACAATATTCTATTCACAACGGTGATATGATAAAGTAGCATCGAGAGGCAACAATTTTCTTCGGAAATAGTACAACTTACATTATATATATATATATATGTATAGTATAACAACACTGCGGAAAGCTTGAAAACACTCCATTCAGTTACATTTATTTTCCTTTTCTCATCATTTATAGGCATATTTATATTTATATATATATGTATGTATGTACGTATATACGTAAAATATGTATATATA